GCCACAGCTCTGCGCCTCTGCGCGTGTTTTATTGGCAGTCAGAGAAGCAAACGGTACCAGACACGAGCTTTGCCACCGCCTAACGACCGACTCTCCCCGCTGGAGAGCAGATCCGTTCCCTTCTGCAGGACCCAACGCGCCGCCGAGCTCAGCGGCTGCCTTCAGGCGGGCACTGCACCTATGGCACGCTGCTTTCCATGGCAAAGACCGAAATGTAAAACTGATCCAACGCTCTCCGGCACTTGAGGAAGCCATTTCTGTCTGAGTCATCCCATCCCATCCATACTCTCGTAGCACAGCCTTCGGGAGATTCCCGACAGTACTGTTAGGAGATGAAATGAGTCTGTGGGGTGATTTGTTCCAGTTTGTGATCAGCTGGGTTTGCTGAGGCTTCGTAATTGCAGATGGTGACTTCGTGGCGATGAGCCTGAATTAAGATTAAATGTGTTAGTCCAGAGGAGAGCAGAATCCCAAGTCCCTCCTAAAAAAACGGACTGGCAAATTGCTGAGCAAGTTCCATCTCTGTTAGGAGATGAAATGAGTCTGTGGGGTGATTTGTTCCAGTTTGTGATCAGCTGGGTTTGCTGAGGCTTCGTAATTGCAGATGGTGACTTCGTGGCGATGAGCCTGAATTAAGATTAAATGTGTTAGTCCAGAGGAGAGCAGAATCCCAAGTCCCTCCTAAAAAAACGGACTGGCAAATTGCTGAGCAAGTTCCATCTTAATTTTCACCGCAAACCTTTCGTCCCCATGCCCTACAACACTCCCACTTCTTCCTCAGCCCTCAAGATCAACATAAGATTTAAAGCCCTTTTCACACGACTAGCACAGTCTGCTCTGACCTACCTCCGTCCACTCTCCTTTGAGGCCTATGTAAAAAATCTTTGTTGTCTCCGCTCCAAAGTTCTTCGGAAAGTGGATGGAGAGGTGGTAAACGTTGGAGAAACGGGCAATTCTGAAAGAAAGCACACACTGAAACTGGAGCTGTGCGTCACCCCACTGCGCAGCCACCTCCTGTCAGCGCTGCGCCGCGGCCCCGCACCGTGTGAAGCTCCTACCCGAACCCGAGCCAGCCTTGGGAGCAAATGACTGAGGGGGCAGGAGGAGCGGCTTCCCTCATGGTTGTGGTGAGCAGGGCGGCAACGAGCTGTCACTGGGAGCAGGGAACATGATGCTGGGATCATTCTGCACCCCAAGAGTTCCCGAGTCACGGGCACAGGAACGCCCCTGGCTCCAGGGAGATGGTTTTCAGACCAAAGCTCTCACCTGACAAGGGCAGGACGGAGCTAAGGAGGCAAATTCTATTCTGGGCAGCTTTGAAATGCAAGGGAAGGAACTGCCTTCTGCTAGCACTTTCCTAAAATTCCGCGGTACATCAGCAGGCTGGGCAGCCCCCCACCCCCCCAGGGCACGTAGGTCTGCATCGTACTTGGTGGGGTACTCCAGCTCGCCCCTCGGATCCCGGGTGAGGCTGAACATCTGGTCTGGTTCCCTGGCTGCGTCATCAAAGGACATGTGAGGAATGTTCTTGAACCTGGGAAGAGAGGGAGGAAACCCAGGAAGTTACTAACATACAGGTCAGCTAATTGGTTTCCTCCAGATCCATGAGCACTACCCCAGCTGCGTCTCAATAAGAAACTGGATTTTACTTTGTCTTCTAAGGGAAAAAATACCAACACGACCACAAAGCACCATCGAATTCCAGAATACCCAACACCCTGAGGAAATAATAAGAGCCAGGAACAAAGGTGGGGAGATACAGATCTCGGCACGCTTGGGTAAATATGAACCCCAGGACACTGGAGACCAAGCAAAATCCAGGCTTGATAAATGTGTATTTCTTTCCAAAAGAAGGGCAGAGTACTCAATACTCTTTCATTTTTATTAAATAAAAGACAGTATTAATAAGGATCTCTCTCCCTTCAGGAGCTAAAGCAGGCCACGTGGTTCAGTACGTCAGGATCACGGCCAAGAATCTTGCAAACCGTCACTCGTGTCCCTCCCTTCCAGGCCTCAGAGCTTCCTCCCCAGAGCGTAACCCCTCTTGGCCCACTGATCCTTCTGCAGCCAACTCCACGCTCTCTGCTAATTAAAATCAGTGCCCCGTTTCCCTAAAGAAACGGCAGCGAGCAGCCATGCTCATCACCCTGCAAGCCACGATTTCTTTTTCCTCCTGAGGCCCTGGAAGGCCGGATCTGCCGCAGAACAAGGCGGC